GCTACTCAAAGTAAATGGGGAAAGAAAGGAAAACTAGCCAGCCAGATGAAAATAAGTAAACAAATAAAGAAGAAAGAATAAGAAGAATCTCATCCCATAAATTGCTCTTCGCCACCAGCCTGCCACAAGGCTTGTGTTTCCAAGGTGGGATTTAGGGACGGGCTCAGCTTGCCCATGGACGGGTTCCCAGCAGAACTGCGATTCCTAGCTATCACATCAAGAGCAGTCACTGCTCTTGATCTGGTTTTTACTTATCAGTGACAATGGTTGCTCATACCTGCATTTCGACTGCTGGCTCTAATTACAAGAAAAGGTGTATTTGGATATGTTAAGGGATGTTCAAAATGTAAGAGGCTGGACAAGAGCAGAACAGGGCGGCAGCAAGAAGCTCCCATGCAAAAAAACCCCTCTCAGTCTTCATGAAAAACGTTAATAGCAAAGCAATTCAGAGACTCAACACAGTAAGAGAAAAACTCCTATAAAAATCTCACATTTAGGAACAAAGACAACTTCTAAAGTGTTTACATGAGTAACACTAAAAGAGATGGGTACCAAGAGTTATTTGGTAGCTTGCATCAGCAGAAAGCTCAAATGCAGAAAGAGACTCCATTAGTAACTCCCTTGGGGGCACACGGGGCCAGGACACAAACATTCACTGTATTTAAACATACTGAGATTATCTGCGAGCTGAGCAGCTCTAACAAAAGATAAAGGAAAAACCCCACACCTCTGCGGATGCTCAGTGTGGGTGCAAGGCGAGTTGAACAGCTCAGCCCGTGGAGTCCGTCCTTCCCTCAGGCTCAGCTCTGGAGCGACCCGGAGCGGAGGACATGGGCTGGGGGCAAGTGGGATGCAAACCTCACTGCGCCCGGCGGGAAGGATGCAGCAGGCTCGAGTCAGAAGGCACAGCAGCTCGAGTCCCTGGTCCCACAGAGCGAACAACAGCAGGCTAAAGATAGTCCCCGGATTGTAGTGCCATTGCACAGGGTGGATTTCAGCTGCACGGAGCTGCTGGGATGAGACATTCCTCTCCCCCAAGGAGCCAGACAAGATTACTGTATATGGGCAAGCATTCCCCTGCAATGGGCTTCTCTCTCTGTGGTAAACAGGCGATCCTCTGGCTGCACAGCCGGGAGAGATCCGTGCTGTTGTGGCAAGGCCACGGGGATTCACGCTGTCGGAAACCCAGAATAATGCTTTTATCTCAGGGCAATCTCGCAGAGGGGCAGAGCCAGGCAGGAGAGGCTGAGGCAGGGGAAGGCCTACGAACAGCTGGACAACAAAAACCTCTCTTTCAATTTTAGTAGCTTTTAACCATCAAACAGATCTCGAGCCCCAGACTTCTGGTGGTGCTTCACTATGGGTCTCCACAAGCACATAAACGTGCCGGTCGGACAGCGGCCATCCCGGAGGGGTCAGCGAGGAGCGCAGCTGCTACCCACTGCGACTTCTGAGAAAGATGCTCATAACCAAGCTGGGACCATGCATGGATAGGGGCTGTGGAAGGACAGAGCGCAGGGAGTATCACAGCCTATTTCTGACCTCTGGCAGCTGCTGTCCTGCCTGCTCCCATGCTGGCAGCATGGTGAGGGTCTGGCAGGGTGCGTAGCCGGGGAACGGCACCATCCACCAGTGCAGGGCCTGGAAACTGTTCACGTCTTCTGCCTCAGATCTGCATGGGAACACAAAGCGGGACCTCCAAGTTCAGACTCGAGTTCTCATTGGGGGCAGAGGATTTTTGCTGACTTTTGTACGAATTAGAGTAGAGCAGCGCGTGGGGCACTGTCTTCAGCAGAGCTGGTCTGGATGGGTGTTAGTTAGGATCAGCTCCGCAAGGACTCTGTACAGGTCCTGTAATATTCCCTTCCTAACAAAACGGTACGATCAGCTGCAAAGGAGAATGACTTCAGTCCCAATTTAAACAACACACCATATTCTTTGGACTATCCAATTTCTTTGCAACCCACACCAAGCCTCAACTCTGCAACTGCTCCTACCCAAGCTAATCCCAGAGCAGGCACGAAACCCTGCACAGCTTGAGCAGATGCCTGCTCCTGCGGACTCTACTCAGCACCGTAGCTGGAACAAAGCTTTTTAAATGTTTTTTCTCCTTTTTTTCTTCTTTTCTAGTTTTAAAGTCAGAATTAAAATCAAGCCAAGCTGAGGTCCTGATTGTTCTTCTGCTCTGAGCTTCCTGTTGCCGTACCAGAACGACTCTCACAGTATAGGGACAGTGACAGATTGGCACATCATGGAATAGGTGCTATAGAAACCACAAAGTTCTTAGAAGCAAAAGATTTCTTCTCCCCCCCTCAAAAAATAACCCACTTAATTCACATATTTTCTCTCTATACTGTATATATATATAATATATAGACACAATTTTCTGGTAAACATTTACAAGATATTGTAAAGAACATTGAAAAGATATATCTGCATTTGCATAACAACGCACACTCACATACTTCAGCATACAAGGACACACAGTAATGTACAATCAATAAATAAATACTTTTTTCCCCCCAGAAGTTATTCAAAAAACACTGCTATTGAGCGGCCCAAAGACACTCCCAGTTAATACAGACAGCAAATATTGTGCAGAATTTCTTGGCTGTTTTTGTTTAAAAAACCAAGAAAAGAAAAACAGAAGCTTGAAAGATAAAGTGTCAGCGATGTTGCTTGATAAGACTGTGTTTAAGTTGACCTATTGGTTCGTGTCCCTCAGAAAGGGGAGGACAGAGCACTTCCCTTCCCCTTCGGAGAAGGTGACGCAGGCAGACTATTACCTGTCCCGGGACCTAGAGGGGACAGGAGCAGCCTGGTAGGGAGGGTGCGAGCTGCTCTGCTTTGTGGAGAGAGAAAAGATTCACACGTGAAATGGCAGATTTGAAGCTCAAATGCCTTAGTTTCCTGTGCTACTACAGACCAAGCACTCTTTGGAGGTTTAATGCAGAAAATTGCTTCAAAGAATTTCCTAGATTGTTGGTACACATTTGCCTGTTGGGATTATGAGAAAGGAAAGGCTCCCCATTGCTCTCACCCCCTGCTGCAAACCCCCAACTACTTCAGTAGTACTACTGTCCCCTGGTTTTTCTAGCTGCAGCCTCTGTGGCCCAGTCCTGCAGAAAGACCCAGCTGATTTGCTCAGAAGCTGCGAATCACTTCACCGCACTCTGCAGAACTTTTCTGAAGCAGCAGTTTTCTCTTCTGCAGATTTACATCTGTCTTTTTTTTCCTGCAAGCAACATCTGACACATGCCACAAGTAAATACAAAACACAGTCAGCACAGACAGATGTTCCACAGAAGAAGGGAAGGGCCCCTTTTCCCTTCTGGTGAGCAGCACTCCAACAGCAAGAAAGAGCAGGGCCTTATCTTGCAGACGGGAGGAGGAGAGCACACACACACACACACATCACACATTGCATGGAGGGGGAACACAAATTTTTGCAGCAAAACTTGAGAGAAAGTACCCTTATAGAGAGCTACAAGCCAGCGTCTTCCCTGCTGCTGAAAGCACACATTCATGGCAGCCTTCTATGGCCACGGCAAAGCCCTCCCTGGCTGAACTAGACCTACCAACAACCTACACCTCTCCTTTTCCTTTATTGTTTTTACCTGAGTTGAAAAATGAATCCAAACCCTCCGTAGCACAGCCTTAGCATGACACAGCAGCTCAGCTCTCACGCTGGTAGTGCTGGAGAGGCACTTCATGCAGTGTGCTCCAGGGGCTGCAACGCTGGAGAGCCACTGCAGGAAAAGTGGCCACAGAAGTGCATCTTCCAAAAGCAAAGACCACTCAGGGACCTTGGGCTATTTTCCTCTTCGCAGGCATGTGAAAGAAGCCCGCCAAGACCTAACTGGAGACTTTCAGTGGACTTAGGGGGCTTTGCAGCCAGCCCCAGAAGCACACAGAAAACCTGCAGGCACCAAGGGGATCGTTTGCGCTGTCTAGCTTTGAGCAGCTGGTCTTTGAATTAAGAGAGGAAGAGACAGGCATCTTCAGAGGGAAAGTCAGGACAGTCACCGAAGTCAGGGGCTCTGACTTGCCTTCCAAGGAGCTCTCCCCCAACAGGGGTTGCGGAGGAACGATAAGGAGACCAGAGTCCTAACACAAGCAGTTAGAGTAAGGCAGGTACGAAAACCTCAAGTCTAGAGTTCCCAGAGGAGGTTAGGACCAGATTTTCCAGTGTTCAGAGAACGTTACAGAGGCTGGATTTTGGAAGAAAAACCCAATGCTGAATTTGGAGCTCTTCTGAAAATCCATCCAGAGCTGAAACTCTTGTGTGCTCAGATATTGTAGTAACAAACAACGTAAAAATCCCAGGGAGAGAACAGAGCCCTAAAAAAATACTAAAGCAGATGCTATGCATCAAGGGACAAGATCAAAAGAGGAGGAATTTCTGTGATCAAAGCCCCTCTCTGTACTGGCAGAACCTCATAATGTTAGTAAGAAACTGAGTACTGGCAGCATCCCTGTCTTGCCCAGGCTTGCAGGGCTGGCTGGCTTCCCTCTGCCACAGGGTGACGGCTGTCCAAGGAAGCAGCTTGCTTTCCTTGCAACAAAGGCTGTCAAGCCCGAGCTGGCCCCGAGGAGGGCTGGCAGCTCTGCTCTCCCAGACCCCGAGCTCTGCCCTGGGATGCTGGCAGCTGCCCCGGCAGTTGTGGTGGTAACCACACATGCTGCCCTTCAGCTGCGGCAAGGCAAGGAAGCGACTGCCTGGATCCTGCTTCCAAAGCAAGTCCTTAGCAATAAAAATGCAATTGTACAGATCTTTGGTTAAGTCACTGAAGAAGGCTGTGAAGATCTGAGCCGGGGCCCCTGGACCTAACACTGAACACAGCACTTGGAGAGCTAAGGGTACTTCCAGTTTAGACAGCAGCATGTGTCCAACTACCTTATTTCCACAGGTGTGGCACTTGGAGAAAAAGGAGAAGGGGAGGAAGCATTGAAGGGGAGTCCCGGCTCTTTGTCTGGATGCCTCGTCTTCCCCATGTCCTTCATTTGTTCTCGATCAGAGTCTGAACTTTATAGACAAGGTCCCGAGCCAGCTTCAGGATCTGCTTGGTGTTGTGCCGCTCTGCCATCTCTGGAACACAGACAGAAGGAACCCACAAAGAGGCTAGACCCAAGCAGCCCGGTGTCTCCAGGAGTCCCCCCAGCCTCACAGCTCTCTGCTCCTCAGCCAAGCTCCAGGCGGGAGGTGAAGCTGTGAATTCCTGCCCAAGTCCCCAGGCACCATCCCTCGCAGAGACACCGGCCTCTGAAGAGCCGTCATTAACCAACCCATCTTGGGATGATTACTGCCAGCAGGAAGCACAACCTGCACTCCCAGCTCCCTTCAAACACAGCAAGGGGGGGCTGTTGCCAAGGGTGGCTTCCCCCAGGCACCACCAGATCCCCTCAGAGCCTGACTATTCAGGGGCAAGGGGTCTTTTTACCATCGTGTTCCAAGTATCAGCATCGCACAACCATACGCTGCTCTGTTTGTTTTAAACATTTACCAGTACAGCCCAGATACGACTGTCTATAGTCAGACAGACAGGCACTGCCTACATCTGAGCAGCTGCCACAGATTCAGCCCCACAGAACACAAGCTGTACCATTGAAAAACTTGATGATGTCTGTAAAATCCATGTTGTTCTCCAAGATTATGTCCCGGTACATTTCCACCAAAGCCAGGGCTATGAAGAGCACATAGTGTGCAGAAGAAACGTGTGCAGCTGCCCAGATGGTCTCCCAGACGGCGAACACGTCATCGTACACCAGCTCTGTTAACAGAGGAAAAGGTCCAGCAGTTACTACACCAGCCACGGGTTTACAATCATCCTGACTCAGAGTTCGCAGCAGCACTGGGAAGACATGCTGGGTGGTTTCTTCCCACAAGAACCTGTTCCTGTTGGAAGCAATAAGTCAGTCATCTGTAAAGACAAATATTCTGGCCTGCAGCAGGTGGCACAGGCTTCAGGATACAAACCCGGTGGAAGCTCACCAGCAGCTCTGGAACAACAGGTTCTGTATCTAGACAGAAGAGTCAGCCACAAATCTACCAGGGAAAAGCAAAACAGGAACACGTGGTAAAAAGATAAGACAACTGAAGTTGCAGAGTGTATTGAGAAGCATGGCAGACCTTGCCTTCCCTGCCCATTTGCTGGTCTCAGCTGCCTCCCTCCCAGCACACACCTCTCTTGAAGTCCAGGAGAAACCACCGGTAGCAGAAGTAGAAATGAGTGTAATCACCATTCTGGTGCATCAGCTCGAAGAGCTCAGAGTCCAGAATCTGCCAAGAAAAGCAAAAGGAAACTCATCAGTGCACACCGGAGGCACCAGCCGCTCCTCTGCCTGCCTTCCTCCGTTCCCACTGCTCGCCTACTGCACCATCTTCCACCCAGCTTCTCCCTCCTTTCCGGTCCTGGCATGCGTCACTCCCAGGCTCTCTTTACAGCCCCCAGCTCTCCCTCCTGCTTCCCGCCACTGAAAGCTCCTCTCAGCCCCTCCGAGACCCCCGTCCCAAGAACAGCTTTCCCCCTCTTAAGTTTGAGAGGCTGCCGACCCTGTGCCACAGCCCCCCCACCTGGATCAGTGATCTCATGTTGGCAAAGTGGGTGTCCATGGCTCCCCCGTGGGGGAAGTTCTGATTCATCCTCTTCATAAGCTCAGTGAAACAGCTGAAAGCCAGAGCCTCTGCACAGGGAAGAGAGACAGGCACTGCTCGGCTGCACGGACACTGCTGCATCTGCACTCGCACCACCACACCTCACCACCCACCTGCAGCAGGAACATCCCTCCCCACTCCACACACACAGAGCCAGGGCCGGGCAGCAGGGACTGGCCTCGGAAACACACCTCAGACTGCAAAAGGTATGCACTGTCCCCAGGTTGGACTCCCAGGAGTCAGACAGCATCAAGGACAAATGGGATCCTGCCATCAGCTGCTCCACACCTCCGAGCACGGGACCCTCCCACTGCAAACGGCCACCACCAGCCCAGCACATCCCCCCCATGCGCTCCCACAAAGGTATGGGGACAGCAGAGCAGAGCCACCCACTCACCGTCATCCAGGACGACCAGGAGAGGGGCTAGCAGGTCGCACATCCCCTGCACATAGCCGATCTCAATGTGCTGCCAGATGTAGCTGTGTGAGAGAGCAGGAAAGGTGGCCCGTGAGCCCTTCCCGTGCCACGCATGAGTGCCGCAGCCTGCCACCTCGCTTGCCCGTGCCCTGCCTCTGTTCCTGGGATGCTGGCATTTCCTACATGCTGCCACCAACGCACGGCAGCAGGCAGGGCAAATCAGACCTGTTTATTCTCTTACGCCTGTGCTCCATTCCTCTACAGCCAGCCTGTAAATGATTGAGTTCCCGTGGTGACTTTCAGGTAAGCCATGCATGGCACAGCCCTGGATCAACACCCTGCAACGATCCAGGGCTGTGCCATGGCCATCACATGGAAATCAGCGCAGGGAAAAGCGAAAGCAAAAAGCACAGCAAGGTGGGGTGGTTGGTCAAAGGGCAGAGACTGATGGAGTTTGTTCATTTATCTATCGTTCTCACCCTTCCCCCTCGATTCATCCTCTTGGCGCTCTCTGCACGATATTGCCTGCTTCGCCTCCCTGGACCCAGTGTCCCAGGAAGCAACCAGCCTTGCAGAGATACCTTCCCATATTTGGTAGCAAGTCAAAATGTGTTCAGAAAGGACTCGGATTCACTGCTGGCATAAGGAAACAATCTTTTCCAACCTGCCCATTAGTTTTCCAAAATTTGCTGTATTGTAGGTCTCATCTCAGCAGAGATCTCCAACTCTGGCTGTCAGATAAAGCGACAGCTCTAATGAAACAGCAGCTTCTCCTCATATTTACAAGATAAGTAATAATATTTTAGCTTTCACTGCCCCTGAAGCAGCTGCAGCTGCTGAGCTGGAGCTGGTTTGAGTCGGTGAATGTCACACAGCAACCTCTTAGTCACAGGGACTGAGCAAAGAGAACCAGAAACGCACCCAGGTATGGCCGTCTCCTGGGTCCTTGGGTAGGCACTCACCACTCGGTTGCTTCAGGCACTTCCTCATTAGCACTACAGCTCTGCGGGCTGTTCCTCATTAAAACATTTTCCAGGCATATTCCAGAGAGCAGGTGGGCTGCGCTGGGCTGACAGCGCGAGGCAGCATGCATGGGCAGCCCCAGGGAGCCCTCTGCTTTGGCCAACAACCCAGACACACGGCAGTCACGGGGCAGAGCAGCACAAGGCAGGATGGCTGGACTCCTCGGTCCGGTAACCGTGAGGTCCTTGGAGCTGTGGCCCCAGCTCTGGGATGATGAGGGGATTTGGGGGAGGAAGTCAAGGAGGCAAAACTCAGTAACCAGAACAAAGTTTGAGGCTCCAGCCTCAAGGTGAATTCAGGGAAACCAGCCGCCAGTGTCAGGAGCCTGCTCCCGTCGCAGGGAGGGCTGGCAGGTCCCCACCCTGACCCCCGCAGCTCCCACCTGCACATGATGTTGCGGAGTTTCTCCAGGTTGGCAGGGGTGAAGTACCAGTAGTTGCGGTCACACCGCTGCACGTCCTTCTCAATGCGGTGCAGGTTCACCGTGTACATGTCCAGTAGCTCTGGCTGCCCAAAACAAAAGCAAAGTTGATTTGTTTTCAAATAAAACCCAAAAAGAAAGTTGCAAGGGCAACGGAGTGACAGGGCAGAGTTTGGGTGGAAGGTGGAGAGACCCTGTGCACACAACTGCAGGATTAGCGCAGGGCAAATGCAAGTAAATACTGGGACACCCAGGAAGAAACCCGCTCGGTGAACAACTCCATACTTACAGAGTAGGTGACACCTGTCGAGGAGACAGCAGATGTTTCACTGTTGGCCAGATCAGCTACAGCCAGAGAATCCAGCTGCGGGTACAAACTCTCCATCTCTGGCTCCTCGGAGAGGTTATCTTCACTCTCCACCAAGCTTTGCTTTTCAGCTTCGCTGTCTGCCCAGCTCTCCACCACAGTCAGGGCCACAGCGTCACGATCACGCAGGACCCCTGCTGAGCTCTCACCCACGGGAACAAAGTCCACGCTTCCACCAGTGGGAAATTCACCTTCCAGGCTGTCTTGGCCCTGCAGCTTCTCCTCCTGCTGGGCACCATCCGGGTCCTGTGGGCCTGGCACGTCGGACACACCAGCCTTTCCCTGAGAGCTGACCGAGGATTTGTTGGTTTCCAGGGCACTGTCCTCATTGCTGAAGCTGCGCTCCGAGAATCCCGATGCAATGGAGAAGTTCTGGGAAGAGGGGTGGCCAGAATCAGGGGAACACGTGCCATTGGGAACCGTGCCATTGGGGATCTTGCTTTGTTTGCCATCTTCCAGCTGAGCATCCGCTTCAGTCTGTTCCACTTCATCAACAGATTCAAACACCTGCAAAGCACGAGCAGGGAGCCACATGAGAGCAAGCAAACCATTGGGAACGTGGGCATTACGTCCCAGCTCTTGGGGACGTAATGCCCACGTTCCCAACAGTGGGGAGGGAGGAAGATCTGCTCTATATGTGCAGGGCTCATACAACTAAGCAGTGGAAGAAAGCTCAGAGGACTTGAGGGCATTTTAGCTTACTAGTGCTGTGCCTCCGCATCTTTGCTATAGCGAGAAACAACTTCAGCCTGAGCATCTAGCTCTCTGTCCCATTTTAACCAGACTCTTGGAGGAATTTCTAGGCACAGCCCTCAGCCTTCAGGTTCCCCTGCCTGGATTTGGCAGGTCAGTGCTTGGTCATTTGCACAACTCGGAGCCCCACAGTCCCTGCTCCAAAGGACTACGCTTTACTCAGCATAATATATTGGGCAGAACGTCATTTAAACAGGTTGGCTGAACACATGGTTGCTAACATACGGAGCAGCCAAGGGCCCTCAAGTGTGAAGGCCACATGGGGGTTGGTCCTTCGAGCCTGGGCAGAGCAGGCTGGTGACTATTAAACACCGCCAAGCAGTGCACAGTTCTGACCTCAGTGGCTCCAGAGGCAGGTTTGCGAGTCATTTACCTCCACCAACTACCGCTTCGGTTTGCCAGAAATCATTACGGTCATCAACTTAGAGATCAGCCCAAGCCAGGGCAGAGATGTACGCCATTGGGTGGCCGCTGCCTGAAGGAGCAAGAGGGGGCAAAGCGCTGCCGCTCACCTGCGTGCTGGAGCTGGAGTCGCTCTGCAGCCGGGCGTGATTCTGTCGGCCGGAGCTGCAGCTCTGCGAAGACTGCAAGAGAGAGGGAAAAGGCCAGTCAAAAGGCAAAGAGCATGGTGTCTGGAGTGGGGGGAGGCTCAAGCCACGCTATCGGAGGTGGGCACATCTGCATGTAAAGAACAAGCAGAAAATGCATCCAACAAATTCTCATATTTGACCTGTGAAAGACATTCACATCACATCAACTTGGCCGTGCGGATTTGTTGCACAGCGCAGCACCCTGCCTCAGCCCGCCACTGACATTTACTGCTGGAGAAGATGACAAAAACCAAAGTCTCAGGCCAATCCAGTTGCTCAAGCACTGTATGTTTGGGTCTGAAAGGAACTGCTTTCTTCTGGTCTTCAGAGAGGTCACACTGTCTCCCTGGAGTGCAAATTTCTACAAATCTCTGTCCTAATTTGGCAGCAATGTGGCTCACCCCATCTTAGTTTACATAAACGATGAAGTCACAGGCTATAAAACAATCCCTCCAAGCATAGTAATGTTTTTTCCTTTTCTTAAAGGACAAATATTGATGTTTCAAGCCAGACTCAGTCCAGGCAGCCCCTCTAAAAGTCAACAGCACCCTTTTCTGGCTTCCAGCTGAAGCACAGAAGGAAGCATCGGGCTTTGCAGCAACCAGTTCAGCGCTCTGCCTCATGGATTCCCTCTGAGCAACCAGCCTTCACTTAAGAGCGAGTCCTCCCTGTTATCCGTGCCGCCCCTGCACCAGGCTTACCGTAGCGCAGGAGCCTGCGGCTGCTCACGCTGCACGCACGCCGGGATGTACAGAGCATGGCAATGACATCACACACAAACAATAGGGTTTTAAGAAAACACGGCGCTTTCAGAGCAGCACGAGTTGTCCCCACCCTAGTATTGTGGGTGTTTGCTGGCAGGGCTCTGATGGAGAGGAAGGGCGACAGTTTTCCTCCATTACCATGGGAGCATTTTATAACAGGAAATTTCAGGTTAAGATTGGGAAAGGGTGAACCTTTGCATGTATTAACTCTGCCAGCTCCCCTCCCAGCGCATGTTCCCAGAACAGGCAGACACAGATACAAAAAAAGAACCACAGCGGAGATGCTGTGGGGATGGGAATGATTCACAGGGCTTCAGCAATGCTGACCGTGCAGCCCACCTCTGCTCACGCCCTGCGAGAGCTGTGTCATCCAGCTCTTGCACACAGACCCTGGTTTGGACTTGCCTTCCCTGCATCTCTCCCTCCCTGTACACACACTCTAAGCCTGCATGGTTGGGCCTGAGCTCATCTCTTTCCAAAAGCATCCACACAAACTCCCCAGAGGAAACCAGATGAAGGCTCCAGGGCTGCACCTACCGGGGCCTTTTCGGCTTGGCCTTCATTCACCTCCGGTGCAGCAGCGCAAGGTCAGATAACCCAGCACCGCTTGCTCTGCCATGCCTGGCTGTTTTCCTCCAAGGACAAAACCCACAGGGAAGCACTCCCTGGACTCTGTTCCCAGGGCTGCCTTTCCTTTAACAGGCTTTTCCCTCCACACTCTTTGGTTTGGGCTGTGGATCTAACTCCTCCCTGCACTGCTATAAGCTAGTCCCATGGAGCTGGGTGCTGTGGCCCAGCTCTGTCCCACAACGGCACGGTATACTGAGGCTGCCCTGAGCCCTGCCAGCTCCTTCACAGCCAGTCCTAGAGCCACCCTGCTCCTCCTGCCCACAGGCAGCGGCCCAGGTTTCTTCTGTGCTCAGCAGTTGATGGAAGGAGGGAGTCAAGAAGCCCACTGACCTGTTTCACAGCCCCCCAGTGCCAGAAACATGGTCCTCCTCCTTCCCCCTACTTCAACACCGATTTCCATGGAGCTAATCCTGATGTGCACCAGGAGTGCAAACCGGGTAACAGATATCTCTTGTTCTGCAGAAATACCCACAAGGAATGTTTCACAGGACTGGTGAGAGTGTCTGGATTTGGACACGCAGCTCCACAAATAAGTTCTGGGCTCCTGGCTGACCCGCTGCCCTCTGCCAGGACCCCCTGCCCTCTCCCTGCTGCCCCTGGCTTTCAGGCCCTCTGAGCCCAGCACCCCCACCCGAGGTCACGGATGCAGAGCTGTTCAGTCCTGCTGTGGATACTGCGGCTGCAAGAACCAAAGCAGATTTGTTAGACCTCCGAGACGTCGCTCAGGCTGCAGAGCAAAAGCCTCTCGGTGAGTGCAGTACCACACGGTATGGAAACTGGGGTCATACTGCAGGAGATGTCCACTCCTACTGCTAAACACTCTGGAAGAGCAGATGAAAGAAAACAGGTAAGAAAGCTCCAACTCAAACTTGCGTGGATTACAGCGAGCAACGAGGTGCAGAGGCAGGCAGAGGTCAGGGAAGGAAGGTGAGCAAGAACTGTGTCTCCGTCCCTCCCTGTAGCACAGACCAACACAGAGCCTGGGTGGGCAGAGCCCTCCACAAGCCCCCACACCCTCACCTCGTTGCTGATGGTCGAGTCCCTGTGCATCATCCTCTGAATGTGGGAATCCAGACTGGCCCCAGAGGAGCACTTGGCCAGAGCTGCTGCGTGCGACTCCTTCTCCCGCTGCCGGACAATGGCCTCGCAGCCCAGCCACTCTGCCATGGTGTGCTCGTAGCAGGTGCGGATCTGGTCATCAGCCTGCAGCGTTTAGAGAAAGAGATGGTCTTTGAATGGATGCTCCTGGAACAGCCCAGAAACCAGTGCCTCCTCCATCCCCCAAACAGCCCTGCACAGACAAGTTAAGTGCGTGCTTGCATTAGCTATGGCTAGATGAGACATAAAGTCACCCATCTCTGGCACAGTGACAGCCAGAGCCTGACCCACAAAACCTTGCAAAAATTAGGATGGAAAAATGACCATCCATATCCTTCCTGCCTTCCAGAGGCGTGCAGGGCACTGAACATCAGCAGCCAGCAGCTGCACAGCGGAGTGTTGAGCTTGGTTCTATCTATTCTTGCTTATCTGAGTCTTTCTCCCACCTCCTATCTACAGCCGCCGTACAAAGGGGACACAACGCCACAGGGTGGACTCTGGCATACGGATGCTTCAAGCTGTGAAATATCCAGGGCACACCAATGCAATACACCAGGCTGCTGAGCCGGCAGCACACCCATACCAACCTCTTTCCTTTCTGCCTCTGTCATCCCAAACTGATAATGGCCCAAAAGGAAGGGCCAGACAGCCTTCCTGATCTCATGCTGGATCCCACCATAGTAGATCAGCCGCAGCAGCTCCTGGTCCTCGTAACTCTGTGGGAAGAGCTCTGAGTCAGCGCACAGACGCAGCCAGGACCACAGCCCATCAGCTGGCAGATGCAAGGGCAACCCCAGCCCAGCCATGCCACCTTTCAGCACCCCGAGTGCTGCCCAGACGCTGACCACCCGCAAACTCGCTGCGCATCATTGCAGGTGCTCTCTCAGATCTCCACTTGGGCTTAAGCACAGCCAGAGGCCCTGGCGGATGGACATTTTGGGAAGCACTGGCTCACCACAGCCAGAAAGTGGCCCAAAGTCACTCAAGGTCACTGCTGTGCCCCTGAGCCCCAGCAGCACATCAGGACTGCGGCACTGGTCACAGCTCTCCAGCTATCGTGCCGCAACAACACGCTGGGACCCCCCTCAAGACCACAGTACTCAGGGTGACAGACACTGCTGCAGACAGGCTCCTAACAGAAGCGTGCTAAGGAGAGCAGCCTTCGCTCCCTGGCTTCCACGTGTGGAGGATTAGGAGCCCCGGGCTCTGTGCAGCCTGGGGCAGGCTGCATGACTTATCTTCTCCGAGAACTTCTCAATTTGCTTTACCTTACCATGCTACAACTGCTTAAGTGACGCTGCCCTGGCCATCCCAAGCTTACCACAACTGGCATGTCCCAAGAGTGTTGGCCCTACCGTGCTGTCCTGCAGGTATCTCTGCCATATGTCCACAGTTAGTCCCGAGCTGGCATTGCAGGGCACATCAGGAGACACGATGTTGTGGTTAACCAGTGCAGATAGGTGGGTTCGCACCGTGGAGAGGTGTCTGCAATAGGCCAGCCCTGCATCAGGCAGAAGCAAACATTCAGCCAGGGAACTCAGGGAGCCATGAGGATGAAGTGCAGGAGAAAGCTCTGAGGAATCTGGTCCCTGAAGGAGACCCTCCGAAGCCACATCCAGCCTAGGCAGCAAAGCAGGGAGTCTACTGGGACAGGTCGGTATCTCATCGTCTTGTACCACACCAGCACTGCTGCTCGCTGGGCTGAAGTCCGAGGATCAGAGTTCAGACGTTTGCTCCCAATCCTGAGCATGTGTACACAGGGCCCTGCATGCAACAGACTGGTCCCAGTAGCCTTGGCCACTGCCCTGCTGCCTCAGCACCACTCCTAGCCTGGAGCCCAGGACCTTATCCCTTGCCCATCACACATCTCAAGGCATCATGGATGTGACAAGTACTCACAGCCGTAGAAGGCCCGGGAGAGGATTTGGTACTTCATATTGTCACACAGGAGCTTCAGCGGAGCTCTGCCAATAAAAACACATCAGATGTGAGGAGAGGAAATGCTCCCATGCATTCCCTTAGCTCATGCTTTGATCTGACTGTTCCAGCTTTGCCTTCAGAGGTGCACCACGGGACCTCTGCTCAGCCTGGGAACAGCAATTCTTGCTGCCAGGACATGGCCACAGAGCAGCTGAGATGTCCCAGATGAGGGGACAAGCCTCACTTCAGCCTGGACATGGCTCACTGGCCCCTGCAAATGGTCCCTGGACAACCGAGCCAAGTGGGAGGCTGGAGACACCACTTAGAATCATAGAATCGTTAAGGTTGGAAAAGACCTTTAAGATCATCAAGTCCAACCGTTAACCTATCACTGCCAAGTCCACCACTAAACCATGTCCCCAAGCACCACATCTACCCTTCTTTTAAATACCTCCAGGGATGGAGACTCAACCGCTTCCCTGGGCAGCCTGTGCCAG